CCCTGAACTTGACTCTGAACTTGACCCCGAACCCCATTGAATTCAATGGGGACCCGAACTTTTGGGCACAAAAATGCCTCTAAAAAACTCCTGGAAAGGGCTAGAGAGCTGCAAAAGGAAGTAAAATGGGGGTAAGAGTAGGACAACTACCCTGCAAACAAATTTGGTTAGGGAAATCACCTAAAATAACATAAAATACCTAAAAATACAGCTGAGCCATAAAATAGCACTAGATGGAATCTTTGATTTTAGCTTTAGAAGAACAAAAATCAAAATATAAAACATGGCTGTCAGGAGGATCACCAGAATTATCCATTTGAGAGAGTGTTGGAGTGCAGGGTATTCTCTTTCATTGTTCAAACTGAGCTCAACTCCTGATGCATGGAGAAAAGGCCTTCATTGTGTACATAGTTTATACTAAGTGACCCATAGGTTGAGGAGGCGGTGATCGTGGCGATGTAGGTGGAAGCGGCGGTGGAGGAGGAGGAGGTAGCCAACACTATTTTTATATATATATATATATATATTTTTTTTTTTTAAATTGGGTAGCCCCAAAAATATTGGGACATATAAAAAAAGAAACATTTGCGCCCTGCGGTGCATTTCTTGCAGTCCTGATGCATGGCGAAATGCTCAATTCCTGATGCGTGGAGAAAAGGCCTTCACAAGCCTCTGCTATTGTGTACATAGTTTGTACTAAGTGACCCATAGGTTGAGGAGGCAGTGACCGTGACGGTGTAGGTGGAAGCGGCGGTGGAGGAGGAGGATGAGGTAGCCAACACTGTTTATTTTATTTTATTTTTTTTATTTTTTTTATTGGGGTAGCCCCCAAAATATTGTGAATTATAAAAAAAGAAACATTTGCGGCCTGCGGTGCATTTCTTGCAGTCCTGATGCATGGAGAAATGCTCAACTCCTGATGCATGGAGAAAAGGTCTTCACAAGCCTCTGCTATTGTGTACATAGTTTATACTAAGTGACCCATAGGTTGAGGAGATGGTGACCGTGGCAGTGTAGGTGGAAGCGGCGGTGGAGGAGGAGGATGAGGTAGCCAACACTGTTTTTTATTTGTTTTTTTGTTTTGTTTTTTTAATTGGGCTAGCCCCCAAAATATTGGGACATATAAAAAAAGAAACATTTGCGCCCTGCGGTGCATTTCTTGCAGTCCTGATGCATGGCGAAATGCTCAATTCCTGATGCGTGGAGAAAAGGCCTTCACAAGCCTCTGCTATTGTGTACATAGTTTGTACTAAGTGACCCATAGGTTGAGGAGGCGGTGACCGTGGCGGTGTAGGTGGAAGCGGCGGTGGAGGAGGAGGAGGAGGTAGCCAACACTATTTTTTATTTTATTTTTTGGGTTTTTTTTTAATTGGGCTAGCCCCCAAAATATTGGGACATATAAAAAAGAAACATTTGCGGCCTGTGGTGCATTTCTTGCAGTCCTGATACATGGAGAAATGCTCAAATCCCGATGCATGGAGAAAAGGTCTTCACAAGCCTCTGCTATTGTGTACATAGTTTATACTAAGTGACCCATAGGTTGAGGAGATGGTGACCGTGGCAGTGTAGGTGGAAGCGGCTGTGGAGGAGGAGGATGAGGTAGCCAACACTGTTTTTTATTTGTTTGTTTTTTGTTTTTTTTTAACTGGGGTAGCCCCCAAAATATTGGGATATAAAAAAAAGAAACATTTGCGGCGTGCGGTGCATTTCTTGCAGTCCTGATACATGGAGAAATGCTCAAATCCCGATGCATGGAGAAAAGGTCTTCACAAGCCTCTGCTATTGTGTACATAGTTTATACTAAGTGACCCATAGGTTGAGGAGATGGTGACCGTGGCAGTGTAGGTGGAAGCGGCTGTGGAGGAGGAGGATGAGGTAGCCAACACTGTTTTTTATTTGTTTGTTTTTTGTTTTTTTTTAACTGGGGTAGCCCCCAAAATATTGGGATATAAAAAAAAGAAACATTTGCGGCGTGCGGTGCATTTCTTGCAGTCCTGATGCATGGAGAAATGCTCAACTCCTGATGCATGGAGAAAAGGCCTTCACAAGCCTCTGCTATTGTGTACATAGTTTATACTAAGTGACCCATAGGTTGAGGAGGCGGTGACCGTGGCGGTGTAGGTGGAAGCAGCGGTGGAGGAGGAGGTAGCCAACACTGTTTTTTATATATATTTTATTTTATTGGGACATATAAAAAAAGACAACTCTGTTGCGCAGAGTAGCTGTTGACATTATAGTTGTGCAGGCACTTTGTTGACTCTAGAGAACCTCAGGCCAATCGCACATCCCTGTGACGGCGACTTTGCATTCAGATGTCATCTCTATCAACTTTTGATGCCAGTTTCTGCGCCTACCTTGGTAGGTAATGGGGAATCAGGGTTCCATTCTGTACAGGGACCCTGAAAAACGGCTACCACATGCAAGGAAGGCAGCAGGCACGCAAATGACCCACTCCCGACGCGGGAAGGTAGTGACGTCAAATAACAATACAAGACTCTTTAGAGGCCCTGTAATTGTAATGAGTCCACTTGAAATCCTTTAACTCTGATCAATTGGAGAGAACTTTGGTGCAGAGCCACTGACCCATGCGTGCTGCAGCTGAAACTCCACTATCACCTGCTTCTGCTCCAACAGTCTCTCCAGCATGTGCAAGGTGGAGTTCCTTGTGGGCACGTCGCATATGAGACAGTGAGCGGGAAGTCCAAAGTTATGCTGCAGCACAGACAGGTGAGCAGCAGAGTGAGAACGCCGAAAGCGCACACAGCCGCTACAGTGAATGTCACATCATGTTCTAAGTTGCGGATCAGTCTGGTGATCGCTTCTGGTATCCAGTACTCTTTTTACTGAAGCTGCATCAGGGTCCTGGTATGTGGCCGCACAAACACTGGTGCTCAACACCAGGGGGCGTGCGGTTACCCTGCACCAGACCCTGCTAATCCATTCCACACAGTGACTCCTAACTTCAACATCAGGCAAACTGGGTCCCGGTCGTCCGACCGCCGCCCAGGCAGTGTCTGGGTCCTGGTCACCGAACTGCCCACCTGACTGTGAAACTACGAATGGCTCGTTAAATCTGGTACGAACCCAAACTTTGCAGTTAGGGTTTCTCTCAACTCTATCATGGATCCTTTAATCGCTACATGTATTACTTGGATAACTGGTAATTCCCAAGCTAATACATGCCAACGAGCGCTAGGGGACGGCCACTCCACTTTTGCACCCTGCTCCCTCTTATGCTGTGCTGGTGCCTCTGTGCGACTAGCGCCTCTTCCTCAGAACTGCACACGTCACTTGCATGACTTTGATTCCATGTGGGGTCTAGGACCTCATCATCCTCCACATCATCTTCCACCCACTCCTCAACTCTGCCCTCCTTGCCTGTATGCACACTGCAGAAAGCCACAGCAGTTGGCACCTGTGTTTTTCCAGCATGTAAAGTCTGCAAAGGACATATGGAAATTGTTTTAGAATTGTATCCAGGCAACAGTTTTCCCTATAAACTGACATCTCAGTTTGACTTGTGAGGGTATTGCCCCAGAATTACAATATTGTTTAGGTACCTCTTAGCTATTGATAACTGGTTAAAATATAGCAGCTCGTTATCTGGTAGCTTCTAATGTAGAAAATATCAATCTGTTTTACAAGTGTTATAGGTGTGAAACAATATTACAAGTGACCAATGTAGTAAATTCGAATCAAAGTTACGCTTCGATTTGACTCTCAGATATGAAGGGCACTCCCCAAAATGTACTATTTAGCAGATTAGCACCCAGAAAATAACAATTTTTACAACTGCTCAGTAAGCGCACTATCAGACGCTTCTATTTGACTCTCAGATATGAAGAGCAAGCCCCAAAATTTACTATTTAGCAGATTAGCAACCAGAAAATAAGAATTTTTACAACTGCGCAGTAAGCTCACTATTAGACGCTTCTATTTGACTCTCAGATATAAAGAGCAGGCCCCAAAATGTACTATTTCGCAGATTAGCAGCAAAACAATTAGAATGTTTACAACTGCGCTGTAAGCACACAATTTGACGCTTCTATTTGACTCTCAGATATGAAGTGAACCGCAGGCCGCAAATGTAATATTTAGCAGATTAGCAGCAAAACAATTGGAATGTTTACAACTGCACAGTAAGCGCACTATTTGACTCTCAGATATGAAGTTCACACGCCAAATATACTATTTAGCACCAAAAAAAAAAAAGACTTTTTAAAACTCCAATGTAAGCAGCAGATAAGCAGCAAAACAATTAGAATGTTTACCACTGCGCTGTAAGCACACTATTAGACGCTTCTATTTTACTCTCTGATATGAAGAGCAGGCCGCAAAATATACTATTTAGCAGATTAGCACCCAGAAAATAAGAATGTTTACCACTGCGCTGTAAGCACACTATTAGATGCTTCTATTTGACCTGCAGATATGAAGAGCAGGCCACAAAATGTACTATTTAGGAGATTAGCAGCAAAACAATTAGAATGTTTACAACTGTGCTGTAAGCGCACAATTTGACGCTTATATTTGACTCACAGATATGAAGTGCACCGCATGCCGCAAATGTACTATTTAGCAGATTAGCAGCAAAACAATTATAATGTTTACAACTGCGCTGTAAGCACACTATTATACGCTTCGATTTGACTCTCAGATATTAAGAGCAGGCCCCAAAATGTACTATATAGCAGATTAGCATCAAAACTATTAGAATGTTTACAACTGCGCAGTAAGCGCACAATTTGACGCTTCTATTTGACTCTCTGATATGAAGTGCACCGCAGGCCGCAAATGTACTATTTAGCAGATTAGCAGCAAAACAATTAGAATTTTTACAACTGTGCTCTAAGCCTATTAGATGCATCTATTTGACTCTCAGATATAAAGAGCAGGCCCCAAAATTTACGATTTAGCAGATTAGCACCCAGAAGATTAGAATGTTTACCACTGCGCTGTAAGCACACTATTAGATGCTTCAATTTGACTCTCAGATATGAAGAGCAGGCCCCAAAATGTACTATTTAGCAGATTAGCACCCAGAAAATTAGAATGTTTACCACTGCGCTGTAAGCACACTATTAGACGCTTCTATTTGACTCTCAGATATGAAGTGCATGCCCCAAAATGTACTATTTAGCAGATTAGCAGCAAAACAATTAGAATGTTTACCACTGCGCTGTAAGCACACTATTATATGCTTCGATTTGACTCTCAGATATGAAGAGCAGGCCCCAAAATGTACTATTTAGCAGTTTAGCACCAAAACTATAAGAATGTTTACAACACTTTTTTTACAAAACATTTTACGTTTTAAAACTGCAATGTGACAGCAGTATTTGACGATTCTATTTGACTCCCAGATATGAAGTGCACCGCTCTAATGTGCTATTCCACTAATGTACTATTTAGCACCAAAAAAAATTGACATTTTAAAACTCCTATGTAACCGCGGTATTTGAAGCTTCTATTTGACTCTCAGATATGAAGTGCACCTCACGAATGTACTAGTTTGCAGAATTCTTTCCTAAGCTGTCCCTCACAACTGCAGCATCCTCTCCCTACATTAATAAGACCTCAGGTGCGTGCAGTGCTATGCGACTCCAGCTTATATATAGAGGCTGGGTCACATGCTGCACTGGCCAATCACAGCCATGCCATTAGTAGGCATGGCTGTGATGGCTTCTAAGGGCACACGAGTCAAACGCTTGTTGATTGGCTGCCCTGCAGCCTTTCAAAAAGCACCATTAAGTCGCAGAAAAACACCGAACTCCAACCTGAACATACAGTGATATGTCCGTGTTCGGGTCCGGGGTCCAAAAACCGTACTGTTCGGTACAAACCCGAACTTTACAGTCTGGGTTCGCTCAACTCTAGTCCTGAGTTTAGGAATACGCAATGTTAACATGTTCTTAGCTTTTTTGGGGAACGTTATAGGGCTATAAGTACAAGTAGCACTTTGCTATTTCCAAACCATTTTTTTTCAAAATTAACACAAGTTACATTGTAACACTGATATCTGTCAGGAATCCCTGAATAACCCTTCACATGTATATATTTTTAAAAAGAAGACAACGCAAGGTATTACACGTGGGGTATTTTGACTCTTTTCATTTGCATCATGGCATACCATTGTCAAATGTAGATAACCCAGGGCATTCCAAATGGGATATTTCTAGTCTTTTGTAGTAGCCACTTAGTCACAAACGCTAAATATATACACACACACATATAATACGTGTGTATGTATGTGTGTGTGTGTATGTATATATATATATATATATATATATATATATATATATATATATATATATATATATATATATATATATATATATATATATATATATATATATACAAAGTGTAAATATTGGCTAGCACTCACGGTCTTGAAGTAAAATGGTACTTTATTGAAAAATCTTAAAATCGACGTTTCAGCCCACGACCAGGGCTATCATCAGCATCAACAAACAGTAACAATGTGAACAGCATAATATGCAAGAATATATAGCCCAAAAAGAAAAAGAAACTCACCGCAGGTGATTCCAGCTAATTGATCAGCGTTCAATTAGCTGGATCACCTGCGGTGAGTTTCTTTTTACACTTTGTATATCATTTTTGGTTGTGGCTATTTATTGCACCCGGCAATTATATTGTATATGTGGTGCAGGACAACAGATAAAATTTGTATCTTGTAATACCTTTTTTATTGGACTAACAGAATTTTTTATTGGCAAGCTTAGGGAGAACCTCCCTTTCTCAAGTCTGAAGCATTTCAGAGCAAGACGACACATAGAATTCAAAGTTGAGTTGTGATACCGGGGTTAAAGCAACATGAGTGCAGATAAGACACAGGTTTGTTAGAAAATACACACCATTCTTGCAGAGGGTCATAAATATATTTCTGAAGAGCAGAGTGAGGGGGGAGAGGGAGAATAAAAACAAGCAGAAGATGGTACACTTTATACATACACACACACATAAATATATATATGCAAATGCATAAACACATGAACACATATACATATACATACACATAAACACTTATACATACATGCACATGATCTCATCTACACAAATATAAAAAAAAAAACAGTCACATATATAAGCATACATGCATAAGAGTATGGGAAAGCATAGGTCTACACAAAGTACTTATATATTGATAGAATAAACATATTAGAATGTTTTAAAGTGTTGATACATATGACAGAACAGTAAGATAAAGCTGGGGGAGTGTTCATGTAAAGTGTTGGTAGTGGGACAGAAAACCCAAATCAATATTTAGTCCTATATTCTTACTGTTAAACAATTTGATCATTCTTGTTTCAAAAGTATTTTTAAAACCCCCTTTCAGTACTTTGATTGTTATTTTTAAAACCCCCTTTCAGTACCTTCATTGAGTAGCCAGGCTGGTTAAAGTGGTGTCCCAAAGGAGTGAAGTATGATCTTTTTTTGTGGTGTTTAATGGAGTGTCTGCGCATATTAATTCTGCCAATTAATTGCTGTAGCATCCTAGGTGGCATTTGGTGCATTGAATCATGTATACCACATTGCTGGATGTGCAGAAGTATGATCCTTTAATGCTGTAGGATTTATTGTTGTGTGTGGCTGTGTTGTCTGTGCATATATGCTGACA